GTTCTTGCCCCAAATGATCTTAAAACATACTTTTATTAACCAACAGAAAAGAGAACTTTTAACTTAATGCTCTGAGCTCTGTGAGCGCTCCATTGGAAGCTGCTGCCGCCACAGTGCATGCTGGGATAGCTGTCGGTCTCAAGAACGGACAAGTCTGCTCTGATGCGTGCTGGGTAAATAGGGAGGGGTGAGAAAAACATCTGGGGACGTTCTCTATTCTCAGTCTGCTGTTTCTCAGTAGGACAACATGTATGAAAAGGATGATGTGGTTGAAATACTCATTTGCCTAAAAATTCTGCATACAGTGTATTGAGAAACAGCTAAGGACTTCCAAGGATCCAGTCCAGGTAGACAGCGTCCTTTGAAGACCTAGCCCATGGATTCCAACAGCCATTGTGTGTCGACAGACATTGCCCAATAAAGCAGAGGAACGGTTCTGAATATGAACTGTCTTGGCTTCTCTTACCGTGTTTCCCAGCACCTGTTCATCGCTGTCTGAGGAGTCCTCCGAGCTGCTGCTGCTGTCCCTGAAAACAAAGGATCGGTTTGAACGATTTATGCTGTCCTGAGGAGAGCTGCTATGTCTCAACCCTGGATTCTGAAGGAACAACTAATGTCCAGCAGGAGAGAAGATAACCAATGAGAGAAGACAGCTGTAGTTTTATTGTCCTGAATCCCTGTGAAACTGAAGGTTGCTTCATGTTCAGTTTCTGGACTCTGACTAGAAACACATTCTCTGCTCTGACCAGACATCAGCTGGTTTCACACAGAAACCAGTAGAGAAGCTGATTCTCCCAGTCTGTTCCCACCTACAGCATATAAAGCTAGGTGCTAGCTCAGTAGGTTAAAGCAAAAAGCTGCGATCCTTCAGAAACCAGATGCCGATGGAGGGATTCTCACCAGAGCCCTTCAAAGATCATCATTTTAATCACCAGAAAAGTGGTGTGGTTTATCTAGTCATTAGGTTAGGTGGCTGCTGCTCTGAAACAGGGGAGGTGCTACTTAAATCCAAATGCAACATTTAAATCTCTAGAATAGGTGAAAATCTTGAATAATAAACTCTAGAAACCACTGCAACAGTTCAGCACAAGAAGATGGTTCTGACTGAATGATCGCATTTTGCTCTGGTTCGAGTCTGATGAGGAAATCCTCCCCTCTGTCTGAAAATACTGCAGCAGCGTATTTTAGCACATAATAAATGTTAATTTTATGGCAAGGGTGTAACTTTGTGATGAAAGTTTGTGGGGAGGTGGCTGATGGAGCTACAGTTACTAGACCCGAACGCATTCATTAGGTTTATGTAGTTTCCAAAAATGAGCTCAAACATATATTTATTGAATGCTTTTCTATTGTTAAGAACACAAGTGAACCATAATACACTGATATTTCTATTGATAGATAGTAAGAGAGATGCCTTTTAGTGCATTACATATATAGGGCCCTAAAACATTACTGTATAAAAATACAAAAAAAACAAATATCATTTGATTCCGATGTTAAAACCGATATATCGTGCATCCCGAGAAGAACAATTTCAATTCCATCCATCCATCCAGAAAAATATAGATATGCTGCATTATAATTATAGAACAGCTTTTTATTTTATTTTAAAACTTTCTGGTAAACTTGGAGATTTATTTTATTGCATGTTGCATATCCCTTTAAATCTGCAGCTCTCCCTACTTCTCTCTGTGCTGTTTAAGAAGATTTATGAACCTCTTTACTGATATAATTATGCCAGAAACTACATTTCAAGATGTGTAGAAGCTCTGCAGTCTATTTCTTTCTACACAATAGGAAAACATGTTAATTTTAACCTGTATTTTAACTGTTTTCTCAAGCTTCTTGCAATATATTAACTTGTATAAACTTATAATCTGTTGCAGTTTTGGCTGAAAAAGCTCCGTATGTCTGTCGAACAGATTTTCCTGTGGTATGATCTCTATTTTTTTAACCAACCCATCTCCTAACGTTTACTTAAACATCGAAGTAGCTGCTGGTTAATATTCACTGAGTGCTGCTGTGTGTCTCTCCTTCAACCACGTAGCTACTCTCTACGCAGTGAAATGCGGCCGCAAATCAGATGTCTCAAAGTGACAGATCCGATTATGTTACACCGAGAGGCAGGACACAGGAGCAGCACAAGAGAGGAAAAAAACACTGACTCAAAACGCTCTGAATGAAGACAGTTAGCAGCACCCAACCTCTGTTAGCTTTGGCTAAAGTAAATGAGTGGAAAGGGGAATAAAGGCTAACTTATTGGTGGGGACATGTCTCAAACAGGCCAAAGTTGTTTAGGGATATGTCCAAAACAATCCTTCAGAAACGTACGCCTGTTGTTTATGGCTACTTTTAACAGTGCATGTTTGACCACTGATTGGAAACTCCTATCAGAACGTCTGTTCCAACAGGTCCACTAGTGTTTGCTGCTGCTTTGGTTTCCCTGCATTAAGGAGAGCAGCTCAGAGGTTTCAGACCCTGATCTAGGAGACTTCATGAAGTTCTGGAAAGCAGCTAATGCCAGAGCTGAACCTTTCCTGCAGAATGCTGTTAATATGGACCACAGCAGTATGGAAATAACTTTATCCCAATATTGATAAAACAAAAACCCCATTTCAAGAAAGCACATTTGATCAACTTCTCAATCAAAAATGTTGAAGATTACTTGCATTCTTTTCATCCATCCATCTATTTTCCGTCACGCTTTATCTTAGCTGGGGTGGCGAGTGGTGCTGGTGCCTATCTCCAGCTGTCCAAGGGGCAAGAGGCGGGGTCCACCCAGGACAGGTCGCCAGTCCATCACAGGGCAACAGGACAAAACAACCATTCACACACTCACACCTAAGGAGAATTTAGAGAAGCCAACCTACTGTATTTTCACGACCATAAGGCGCATATAAACGTCTTTTTTTCCCCTCAAAATGTGCTACGCGCCCTATAGTGCAGTGCACCCTATGTGTGTTGTTACTGCGGACGTTGTTGAGACCACCATCAGAACGTTAAAGGAGGAAGTGTGGGCGTGGATTGTGTATAAAAGAACAGGTATGTGCTTTATGCAGAAATCCTCATTGAGGAGATGATGAAAAAGTGGCTGAGGGAGGTGAATGTAAGGAGACCAGGTGTTTTTTTCCACTCATCACCATCGCTGTTAATCTGTGACTCCATGCGTGCCCATCTCACAGCTGATGTGAAAAACATGGGGAAACAAATGAACGCTGTGCTTGCTGTTATTCCGGGAGGTCTGACAAAGGAACTTCAACCGCTCGACATCGTTTTGAACCGGCCGTTCAAAGTAATGCTACGTTCACGCGTCTGCTGCTTCATTTTTGCTGCTTGTACCAGTTTAGTTCTGACGCGCGGCTGAAGCTTTGCTGCTCTGGCTGCGTGATGCAAAAGTGTGTCGGACGCGCGTTGGGCGGAGCTACTCTATCCTTTCTTTGCCTTGCAGCTATATTTGCTGTGATCAGTGGGAGTAAAGTAGTTTTAATATGTAATATGTAATAAGTGCCTTCTAATATTATTTCTGTCGGAGCCGCTCAGACCCCCACATACCAGCGGTGCGCTGTCAGTAGGATCCCATTCAACAGCAGCATCTGGTCGGGTCGCCTCCTCGCGGTTCACCGCAGCAGCTGGTAGGTGTTTTTCATCTAAATAATCTAAACTGCAGGCACCAGGATTATAAAAGCGAACATATTCTGCTGGCAGATTTCTGCATTTTAAGTTAATTTATGCGTCAATAAGCTGTTTCAGAGGATTGATCACAGCGCCCTGTGTCAGCGATGTGTCTGTCTCACGGCCAGCTCCCAGGTTTGATTAATACTTTGTAATAAATACATGAATAAAGCACAAACATACTCAGTTTTGCTCCCGCTCTATTTTTAAATACGCAGTAGAGGTATTTAAACGTAGTAGAGGACATGTACCTGTATATAAAACCCACGCCCTATAGTCCGGTGCGCCTTATCTGTGCGTTAAATACAATAATGGCACACATAACTGAGACTGCGCCTTTTAGTACGGTGCACCTTATGGTCGTGAAAATGCGGTAACAGTCATGTTTTTGGACTGTGGGAGGAAGCCGGAGTACCTTCTGCTTTCTTTTCAAATCCTGCTTTTACAGATTTCCCGCTCTCCTCTTCTGATTGGTCTGTGCAATCGACCAATAAGAATGACTATAGTAAAGACTCATTTCTATCGGTCTAAACACAGATCAGCCAGAAGTGCAGAGAGGGGAATCTGTAAAAGCGGGATTTCAAAAGAATTAAATTCATAATATCTGCAGAGTTGAGCAGTTCTTAGCACTGTTGCCTTGCAGCAAGAAGGATCTGAGTTCAATTCCTGGCCCTGGGCCTTTGTGCATGGACTTTAGGCGCCTTTAGGCCCCACCGCGACCGTGATGGGAATAAGTAGGAGAAGATGGAAGGATGGGAATTCAGAAAGCTCAGATTTAAATAAAAAGGATAAAAAATAGAATCTGAAAAGCTTTTAACAAAAAGAAAACCTGAGAAAAATCTTTTTGGATTGAGAAGTTTTTCGAATGTGTTCTTTGCTATGAATGGTTTTAAAGCTTCAGCGGGTCATGGAGGGCCGCTCACCTGGTCTCATTGCAGCTGCTCCGGGCTCTCTTGGCCAGATGTTTGCTTTCCAGGTCGTTTAGCTCCACCTCCTCTTTGACGGCCTTGAACACTTCAACATGCAGATGAACAGCAGCAGTTAAGTCCCCGTCACAGAACTGATCCTCCTGGGTCTAGATTCTCATCAGTTCCACAGCCTCACATTGGACCTGGCCCACCATGTTGGTCCGGTTCTTACCTTTCTCCACCTGGATCCTAAAGGCCGTCTTGTTTCTCCGTCCGTAGTCCATCCTGAGGGCAGAACCACAGAAGTGTTCAGCGGCTGACCCACTGAGGCAGCAGGGAGTGGACCGGCTGACCCACTCAGGCGGCAGGGAGTGGACCGGCTGACCCACTCAGGCGGCAGGGAGCGCTGCTAAAGATGTATCCACAGATAATTGATGGACCAGAGACGGCCAGCGGGGTCCAGATGAGACTACCTGAGAATCATTACCTGAACTGTCTCTGAAGGTCCACGGCCATTTCTGCAAGGTCCACATATTCGCTGCTGCTGGAGGCCATATACTGAAAGCACAGTCAACATGGAGCATGGTCAGAACCAGCTGCAGGAACATACTGATGGCTTTGGATCTTCTACAGTAGGTGGTCATAAACCGCATCTCTGGTACCATTCTGAGAAAACGTCTTCAGTTTTTAGCAGTAGTGGAAAATAACCAAATAAATTTACATAATTACTGTACTTAAGTACTTTTTTTATGAGCATCTTTACTTGATTAATTTTTCTTTATAATCCTGTTTTTCATCCATCATGGCAGAAAGCAACCCTTAGGACTGAATCTAGATGCCACTGATTTAGACTTCCTGTTCTCCATCAGCTTAATCATTTCCATAGCTGATAGCAACATTTAATCTCATGCTGTTTGGCTTCACTGATAAACAAATAAACGTTGATCTAGGGCAGTGCTATGCGTCTGAATAACGTATCACCATAAAGCTTTCCCTATCACTCAGTATCCACCATTATTTAACACCAACCCTTTATCCTACACTAACCCTGTGAAAGGTTTCCTCTGCTAGTTCTGGGGAATTACAGATCGTTTTATCAGAACTGATCTGTCACCATAAATATAGATATTGTTTAATCAGAAAGGTGAAATTCTGCCAGAACTGATTTTTCTTCCAGGATGGATTTTTCTATCTAGCATCGGATCGACCGTTTCTAAGTGTTAGAAAGTCCATGTTGTTTAGATGTTTTCCATTGAAAACTGTTCCTTTATATTGTGTTTTAGGTGAGATGTCAGATGTCTGACGCTCATGAACGCACCATAGACGTTCGAAACTCCATTGAACGCACCATACCTGCATGTGAGATGGCTGATTTTTTCCTACTGATGCAGCAGTGTACAGCTCATTACATCCTTCCTTTATATGTGTAGTTTAATGGTATTTTATTGTGCTGTATGGTGTTGTGTGCATATTTTTATATTGTATAAAAATTAGATTTTATGTCTAATGTTAAGCATTATATGCTGCAGATGTTCAGCTACTAAGCTAATTTTCACCATGTTCGATGTGTGCTGTATTCTCGTTCACAATAGAGTCATATATGTGTCATTGCTAAATACAGTCTTTTATGTTCAGATATAAATATTTTATGTATATTATGTATGGTGTGTTCTGCACTGACTGTTATTTGTATTCCTTTGTATAGCCACAGTAAATCCACCACAAAACCAGACATCTGCCTCCGTGTCTTTTAATGGGGACACATTCCATACACCTTACTGCTCTAAACCAGCTAACTCCTGGAGAACACATCATCTCTTTTTTGCTAATGTTCAGACCTGCTCCACTCGTTGCTTCAGGCGAGTGTCCATCCAGCCTCCTCCTCCTCGGTTCTTCATCTGGATGAGGAGGACAAACTGAGGAAGAAGAAGAAGAATCTATCAACCATCATCAGAGGTCATTCATCAGCTTATCAATCTTTTACTGAGATTTATCCACTTCTGAGCATCTGGACTGACAGCAAACCCAAAACCAAACCCAAAAATGTGGTTCTAGAATCTGGACTCTGATAGAAATGTGGTTCTACTGAA